TCAGACAAATAATAGATTGGATTATAAAATAAACAATATCACCCATGAGTAATGTGCTCCCTTAAACAGTCAACTATATGAGACCAAACGGTCAACATTCACCCAAAAGCAAAGATGAGAAGACAAGGAGGGGCAGGCAAGCTAGGTGAATAGAAACAGAACAAACAGAATGGAAATAATAAGATTGCTGACACATCGTGAAAATTATAACCAATGTCCTGGAACAGTTTGCATAAAAATTGTTAAATGGGAACCTGATTTGCTGTGTAAGCTTTCACCTAAAACACAATAAAATATTTAAAAAAAATAGTCTGGTAGATCTTTCATTGAATACTGCTAAATATTTAATACTTCTGGATATTGTTGAAAATGGTAATAGTTTTTAAATTTCATTTTTCACTTGTTTGTTACTAGTGAAGTATAGCAATGCAATAGATTTCTCTTATGATTGACTTTATATCCAGCAACATTGCTAAATTCACTCATTAAACCTAGTGGTTTTTTTAGATTCTTTAGGAGTTTCTACATACATGATCGTGTCTTCTCTGTATAAAGACAGTTTTAGTTCTTCTCAATCTTTATGTCCTTTTTCTTGCCTTATTCCATGGCAAGAATCTACAGTATGATGTGGAAGAGAAGTGGTGTGAGCAGTCATTTTTACCTTGTTCCCAATCTTTTCAGGAAAATACCTAACGTGCCGCAGTTAAGTACGATGTTGTTGTTAGGTGCCATTGAGTCAGTTCCGATTCGTAGTGACCCTGTGTACGACAGAAGGAAACGCCGCCCAGTCCTGCGCCATCCTCACAGTCGTCGTTATGCTTGAGCCCATTGTTGCAGCCACTGTGTCAGTCCATCTCCTCCTCTTTTTCGCTGACCATCTACCACGCATGATGTCCTTCCTCAGGGACCGGTCCCTCCTGATAACATGTCCAAAATATGTGGGATGAAGTCTTGCCATCTTTGCTTCTAATGAGCAAGTATGTTAGCTGTAAGTTTTTTGCAGATGTTTTCATTTCTAGTTTGCTGAGAGTTTTATTTTTTTTAACATAGCTGAGTATTAAATTTTGTGAAACGTTTGTTGCAATGGTATATTTTATACAGTATTATTATAGGGTTTTAACATTTAAATCTTTAACCATTTTTTGTCTCAGCATCATTTATTGAATATATCCCTTTTCCACTGATTTGAAATGCCTCATTGATTGTAACTGACCGAATGATGGCCTCCAAAGATACTAGGTCCTAATTCCTGGAACCTGTGAATGTTACCTTATATGGTAAAATTTTTACAGATGTGGTTAAATGAAGAATTTTGAGATGAGGCGATTACCCTGTATTATTCAGGAGAGCCCTCAGAGGCATCACAAGTGTCCTTATAAGACGGGCAGAGGGAGGTTAAACACACAGAGGAGAATGGGATGTTAAGACAGAGGCAGAGATTGAAGTGATGCAGCCACAAGTCAAAGAATGCTGGCAACCACCAGAAGCTGGAAGAGTCAAGGAATGCTCCCCTAGAGCCTTCAAGACAACATAGCCCTGCCAGCCCCTCGATTTTGGCCTTCTGGCCTCTAGAACTGTGAGAGAATAAATTTCTATTGTTTTAAGCCATCAAATTTGTGGTAATTTTTTACGGCAGACACAGGAAATTAATATATTGATCATATACTAAATTCTTATGTATTTTTCAGTCTCTGTGTATTTCTTTTCATTTATTCTACTGATCTGTCTGTTCAGGTGCCAGTACCATGTTGTTTTAATTACTAAGGTTTGAATTCAGTTTCGTTTTTCAAAATAACTTATTTTATCAAAGTTATACATGTTTGTGACTTTTAAAAGGATCATAATGTATAAAGGAGTATTCAGTTACAGTCTCTAGCAGCACCTACCTTCAACCCTTCTGTTTCCCCTAAATCATATGTTTATATTGCTGCTTGAAGAAAAAAAAAATACTGCTCCTTTTTGATTTATTAATGTTAGGCCTTATCTGCTGACTTTTAGTAGATGAAGGCTTAGCTATCCTTTACCACCACTGTCCCCACCTCTCCTCCCCATTGTCCCAACATAGTTATATTATAATTTTATTAAATCAAGTAAGTGTTTACATTACTATGAACTATCAAATACTGAAACAACTGAGTCACTATAACCTTGCCTCCTTTTGTGAATGTCCTTTCCCTTCATTTTTACTGGAATTACTAATGGCTTTGTTTTTTTCATTAACCTAGTTTTCTTGATACGTACCGTTGATCTACCCTAGTTGTTCTAACACCTCTGCTACATGACTGTCAGTGCACGATTCCATATGGGCAAACAATATCAGTTATGGCCTCCCCCGTCCCCCCCCCCCCCCACCATAGGCCTCTGCAGCTGTCATCCTGGGCCTTCCCTTCATTGCTCTTCTGGGCTGCATTTTGCTCCTCTAGCTTGCATTGCTGCTTTTGAAAAATCTGCCCTTATTCTTACTCCCAGTGCTTTGTATGTGATCTACTTTTTCTCTATTAAAACTTTTAGGATCTTTTTATTCCTAGTATTCCTGAAAGTAATGGAGATTTGTGTCTTTCAGTTACAGGAGAATTTCCTGAATTGTTTCTTCCCTTAGGCAATATATAGATACCTTTTAGTCAAGTATTGGACTTTTTTGGACTGAGTTTCTAATTATGTTTTTTTATTCTACCTTCTGAGATATTTCTTCTGTTTTTCAACCCTTTTATTTTTTTGTTTTGGCCATCCTGTTTTTTTATTTTTTTAAGAGTTCTTTCTTATTACTATCTCTTTCTTAGTGATATTCTGTTCTTTTTTCATGGAAGCAATATTTTTACTTACCTGAAGATATTAGTTGGAGGGTGGTTTTTTGTTTTGTTTTTCTCCCTGTATTGTCTTTGCTTTCTATCAGCAGTTTTCTTTTTTCTGTTTATTGGTTTGAGGTGGAGGTCTTTCACGTTACATTTCCTCAGATATCTGTGATCTTTGGCTCTCCATTTATATTTAAGAGTAAGACTCTTAACAGCTGATTGGAAGACTGTGTGTATGGGAGAGCTTGTCAACTGGTGAGTTTTGCTGTAGGGTGAATAGGCAGGGACCTACCCTTTTGGAATGTCCAAGTGACACTCTCTTTCTCTGGAACTTTACATTTTTTCTAGAGAAAAGTATCTTCTAGTTTCTCTGAGGAATAGAGAGTGCGTGCGTTTGTGTTGTGAATGCTTTGCTACAGGAGCCCAAAGAAGGGGAAAAGAGCTTGACATTCAGTGAATCAATATGTAGACTTTCATTTAATCTTTCTGCTTTCAGGCCCAGCCCTCTACTGGGTCTACATGCCCAAGTCCAGAGCTTTGCTTGTTGCCTTTCTTCAACTCACATTGAGTGTCACAGATTAGGGAGAGGCCTCAGGCCCCAACCAGGATGTATACAGACTTTCAGTGAATCCTGCTTCCACCTCCAAATGGTGGGTCTTTCAGAGATTCTACTGGGTAATTGGTTAGTTACTTAGGTTATACTTTCTCTGCATCTTTCAAATATTTACTGAATTCTCTCATCTGCTCGTCTCAATACTTATTCGTTTATACTTACGAGTTAACTGATTCCTTTTTTCTTTTATTCCTTTATTGTTATTTTAGTGGGGATTTGGGAAGGGAAAGCAGATGTGGTCAATCTGCATTTTTAATTGACACCTTTGTAGTGTATTTCCAAGGGCGTCCAATTAGAAGTCAACTCCTCTCTTGTTTCCAGGTTATTCTCTGAGATGAGCTTTAAAATCATTTTGTCAATTAAATAAAAATAGTTTTAAAAATTTACATTCTATAATTCGTGTTTAATTATATGCTTTATGTAATAATTATAATAATTCCTTATACTTTATGGTTTTCAAAGCAGTTTTGCATGTGTTATCCCAGTCAATCATGATAACATGAGAGACTTTGCAATTTGGAGACACCAGGCATAGCAGAGGGCTGGGGGAGGTATTGGCCTGAAATTTGTGGTAAAGTTGGAATAGAATTCCCAGCTTTGTAGGGGATTAGCTTTAATATCATTTTTTGACATAAGAATTTAGTATTTGATACTTTATCAAGAACATTTGAAATACAATTTTCTCAGCCGTTCTTTCAAAAAACTAATATTTTCTTCTCTAGTTCACTTTTTCTCTCTGTTAGTATATTGTTTATATTTTGAATGGTCTTACTGATTTCATCAACATTTTTAAGTCTTATTTTCTGATAATCTATTTTGTATGCTATTCATATATTCTTTCTGAAATTATAAATCACAGTTAATATAAGTATCTGCCATGGATTGAATTGTGTCCCCCAAAAATATGGGCGTCAGTTTGGCTAGGCCATGATTCACAGTATTATACGATTGTCCGCCATTTTGTCATCTGATGTGATTTTCCCATGTGTTGTAAATCCTATCACTATGATGTTAATGAGATGGATTAGCGGCAGTTACGTTGATGAGATCTGTAAGGTTAGATTGTGTCTTAAGCCAGTCCCTTTTGAGATATAAAAGAGAGAAGTGAGCAGAGACACATGGGGACCTCATACCACCAGCAAAGCAGCGCCAGGAGCAGAGCGCATCCTTTGGACCAGGGGTTCCGCACAGAGAAGCTCCTAGACCAAGGGAAGATTGATGACCAAGACCTTCCTCCAGAGCCGACAGAGAGACAGAGAGCCTTCCCCTGGAGCTGGCGCCCTGAATTTGGATTTATAGCCTATAGACTGTGAGAAAATAAATTTCTGTTTGTTAAAGCCATCTACTTGTCGTATTTGTGTTATAGCAACACTAGATAACTAAGACAGTATCATTTATTTTTTTTCCTGTTTCTTAAAGTACAAGTTGTAATTATAACATAAATCCAGATCATATAAAGCGAGCATTAACATGTTTGCCTGTTAACATTAATAATCTAGTATCTTTTTCAGTTTGTCAGATTAAACATTGACTAAATAGATACTTCGTACTGAAAATATTGTTGAAGAAGTTTAATTTTAGTCTGTTCCTTGTAGTCACTTCATGAATTCCTTTGGGCAACCCAGATCAGAAGATAACCAGTCAGTAGTCAGCAGAATGCAAAAGAAATACTGGAAAACTAAACAAGTCTTCATCAAAGCAACAGGAAAAAAAGAGGATGAGCATGTTGTGGCATCTGATGCTGAACTGGATGCTAAACTTGAGGTAAATGTAAGGATTTTGTTGTTCGGTGCATGTAAAAACCACAAAACCAAACCCACTGCCATCAAGTTGATTCTGACTCATAGCGACCCTGTATATATTGCGTATAATTGGTTATTATGTGGGACTACAAGGGAAACTATATAGCAGGCTTTCACACTGAAGAACTTATGGGGATAAATACAAATTTGTTAACAGAATGTTTAGTTGTATCTGGCTGTCAATCAGTTCTTCTGGATAGAAGGTCTAGAAGGTCATTCCCACAAATTGAGAGTTGGTAGAGCTGGTATTCGCTACATTCGATAAATCATGAGCTAAGTAATTTCTATGACTTATGTATTATAGTTTTAAGCTACATGTTAACAAATCTTTTATATTCCTGCTTGGGACCATATATTCATTATATATCATGTCATAATATTTTGCAGTGCTTTGATGTGAGGTCTTATACCTCATCGAAATCAAATAATAAATGAGGATTTCATAAATTAGAGTTTTTGTTTCTAAGATTAAGGGATAGAAACTTCATAATGACTTTTCTGGCTCTGTTTTTAAGTACATGCAGTAATGGCCATGAAACTACTTTAAGCCTATAAATGTTTTATACTTTTTTTTATGTTTTATACTTTGAAGTAATTAAACTACCTAGAGGGAACTCTCATGTAATTTAAGTAATTAAAATGAAAAAGCCTGGATTTTTAAATGCAGTTTTACTAGTTTTATGTACATACACTAATTTAAGGTAACTCTTACAAATACTTCTAAGCAGGGGTTCTTTTATGCTTGGAATATAATCATTCTGTTGGAATTCTTAAAAAAAAAATAGGTCCAATTAAATAGGTCTTCATCTACTAAATGTTTTCTTCATTTTGTAAAGAGTGAACTTCAGCCATTGCCATAACAAATATGGAAATAGATGACAAATTAACAAAATCTAATTATTTGTGTTGAGAAGTATTCCTTAGGAATCCCCCTCATAGGGGAAATCTAAATGTGTTTTCTATATCAGAAGTCAAACAACCGAAGTACTCATAGTCAAAGAATATAGACATAATACCTATAAGAAAATGTCTACCTTTGAAGTGCTTATAACAAATATATTTACTTATGGTTCTTAAAATTGTTCTAATAAAATTTATATTTCAAGGTTTTTCACTCCATTCAAGAGACATGCACTGAACTTCTGAAGATAGTTGAAAAATATCAGCTAAGACTCAATGGTATGGAATCATAGATATCTGTCGGATAATTCCCATTTAAAACAAATACTAGTTCGCACTTTTTAAATAAAAGATTTAATGTAAAAGTATAGTTTATTGAACTATTTTGTGAAGTTTCTTATGGCAAAATTAAATATTCAGAGTGATCATTCTCAAAGTCCCTGTTGTTGTTGTTAGGTGCCATCGAGTCGGTTCCAACTCATAGCGACCCTGTGTACAACAGAACGAAACACTGCCTGGTCCTGCGCCATTCTCACAATCGTTGTTATACTTGATCCCATTGTTGCAGCCACTGTGTCAATCCATCTCGTTGAGGATCTTCCTCTTTTTCAGTGATTGATCTTGCTGATGTTCAGTTTTCCTGCTGGTTTGATTCTTTGCTTCCATCATTTAAGAAGTCCATCCCTTGACCCCTACTTGCCCTTGCAGTTACTGTGTCATTCTTCTGTTCCTGTTTATAGAAAAACTAGAAATAATTGCCTGTATGCGTGGTTTCCAGTTCCTCTCTTCTACTTTCTCTTATACTCACTCCAGCAGGTTTTTACGCCCACCACTCCATGGAATTGCTCTTGGCAAGGTCACGAAGAACTAAAGTCGATAGCCAATTTTCAATCCTTATTTGACTTATTTATCATAGTTGATTATCCCTCTTTCTTGATACAGCCACACTTCCCTGGTTTCCCTCCTGCTAGTCATCCCTTCTTAGTGTCCTACTTTTGCTGGGTTCTTCTCTCTCATAGACCTCTTAAGATTAAAACTCAACCTTTGGATCTCTTCCCTGTTTTAAATACAGTGGCTGCTTGGCCCTACTGGACCTGGCCACCTCTCTGATGATGGTTGACTCTCTGATCTCATCTGCTAAAACTTTGTCCTCTTCAGCCACATTGGTCTCCTCCACAGCGGGCATTTTCCACCCCAAGATACTGTACAGTGGACTCCCTAACTTCCTTTAGGTATTTGGTCAAATGTCATCTTTTTAGTGGGGCCTTTCTTGACCCCGTATCTACAGTGCAATGCTCCTTTCAGTCTTAACTCCTGTCATAACAGTAGCACTTAACAATATTCAACATTCTATGTATTTTATCTATTGTTTTTCTTTCCACCGCTAGAACATGCTCTCTTTTTATTTGCATATTACTGTTTTCATCCATTTAAAATATATATGTTTATCTCTATCTCTCCATCTATCTTCTTTTTTTTTTAACATTTTATTGTGCTTTAGGTAAAAGTTTACATAGCAAATTAGTTTTCCAATTAATGATCCTTATACAGATTGTTCTGTAACATTGGTTGCAGTCCCTGCAATGTGTCAGCACTCTCCTGATTTCTTCCCTGGGTTCCTCATTTCCATTAGTCTGGTTTCCCTGTCCCTCCATGCCTTTATCATCTTTGGTTTGGGGCACATGTTGCCCTTTTGGTCTCATATAGTTGATTGCTCTAAGGAGCACATTCTTCATGGGTGTCATTGTTTATTTTATAGCCCTATTAGTTGGCTAAAAGGTGGACTTCAGAAGTGTCTTCAGTTTCAAGTTAGAAGGCTGTCTTAGAGCAGTAGTCTTGGGGGTTCCTCCAGTCTCTTTCAGACCAGTAAGTCTAGTCTTTTTTTTTTTTTTTTAATTTGAATTTTGTTCTACATTTTTTACCTGTTCTAACCGGGACCTTCTATTGTGATCCCGGTCAAAGTGGTCGGTAGTGGTAGCCAGGTACCATTAAGTTCTTCTGGTCTCAGGTTAGAGGAGGCTGTGGTTCACGTAGACCATTAGCCCTTTGGACTAATTGCTCCCTTGAGTCTTCAGTTTTCTTCGTTCTCCTTTGCTTCAGGTAGGAAGAGACCAGTAGTTGCATCTTAGATGGCCACTCGCAAGCTTTTAAGACCCCAGACGCTACTCACCAGGCTAGGATGTAGAACATTATCTTTATGAACTATGTTTTGCCGTTTGGCCTAGATGTCCTCAGAGACTGTGGTCATTACCCTTCAAGTCCAGTAGTTCAGTACCAATGTCTAAGTTAGAATATGCTCTCTTTAAGGACAGGATTCTGTTTTATTTAATTCTGTGTACCCAAAGCCTAGAAATAATGTCTATCATGTATGTAGTCAGTACTCAGTAAATATTTGCTTAATAAATAAATGAGTTTCTTGTGGAGCTATGTAAATTAATCTCATCACTTTATAATCAGAGCTCATATATTGTCCCATTAAAGCAAGAAATCCAATAGCATGATTACTCAAGTATTTTTGAATACCTGCTATGTGCAAGCCTCTGTGCTTTTCCCAAGGAAATAATTGGGGAAACAGCATTTTGTAACATAATAAGAGATGACACAAAATAGTATAATTGAGTTTAGAATAGTTATACACACATAACTCTGAATCCCTAGGAGTGAAAAATAATTATGGATTAGAGTAATTGGTAAAGGCAACTCTATAGATGATAATTGAGGTAAAACTAAAAATAGCCTACGTGGGCAGAAAATTTGCAATTGGGAATTTGACTTATAGCGACCCTATAGGACAGAGTAGAACTGCCCTATTGGTTTTCCAAGGCTGTAATCTTTACAGGAGCAGACTGCCACATCTTTCTCCCACGGAATGGCTCGTGGGTTCGAACTGCCCACTTTTGGGTTAGCAGCCACCAGGGCTCCTTTAGGTTTCTAAAGACCTTAAATATTTTACCAAGAAGTAAAACCATCAGTCACATTCACTGGACCAAGGGACTGCTGTGAGAGAATGGAATAGAAACATTGGCAAATTTGTGTGTCCTGCATCTTGCCCTGAAATCACTAGATCTTTCGGAGCATTTCAGGACGAGAGAGAGATACACGTATATAGATTTCATTGTGTACTTACTCTTTGAGATTATGTATAAATATGTGATTTCTCGAAGCATATTCTGTTAATACATCTTCTGTTGGGAATAACATCAGACAAATGACATAGAGTAGCCCCGCACTATAAACCTTAATGGGAATCACCTGAGTGGATGAAGAACACATGGGGTGGGACCTCTGTCGTTTTTGGCAGGCAGATCCTAACAGAGCATCAGCACAGATTCAGCCTCATCTCCTACCCTTTCTGCACCGAAAGGAGTAAGGCTCAATGATGATTCATATTCAGTTGATACTTGGTCATAATGAAGTGTTCCAAGTTTTCATAGGGCTTTCTGAATCATATACAAATTAATTTTTTTCTAGTAATTTTCATTGAGATGTGTTTTATGAAGTTATGATTCAAAGGAAATGTATAATCTGTGCATCTCTCAAGTGATGATGATGGCCTGTTGCTGTCAAGTCGATTCCAACTCATAGCGACCCTGCAGGACAAAGTAGAACTGCCCCACGGGGTTTCTAAGGAATGGCTGGTGGATTCGAACTGCCAACCTTTTGGTTAGCAGCTGAACTCTTAACCACTGTGCCGCCAAGGCTCCGTCTCTCAAGTAGTAATCAGAATATTAATGTGAATCCCCAAATTCCATCCACTCTAGATTAAGTCAGATTGTTGATAATGCAGTACATGGTTTTATTAAAGATAATACTACAGAATGTGTAGACACCCCCTCATAATGCCATCACCCTTTCCTGGGGTCACTCTTGTAGGCATGACAGAGAAGCTGTGGGAGTGGGGAGACAGCAAGTGAGAAGACCTGAGTTCTCTTGCTCCCTAAAAGGTACCCGGGGACTTCCCTTGCAGTTTTTAACTTCAATTTTTGTATCAGTAAATTAGGGTGAAATTAAGCATGACGTGTTATCTTTTTTTTTTTTTTCACTTTAACTTTACAGTTTGAACACTTCATGTGCTTGTCCCCTTGTTAGTCTTATTGGGTCTAGTGTGTCTTACACTAGATCAGTGCTTCTAAAACTATATGTGGTGAATGACCAGTTTTTTGTTTTGTTTTTTACTTTTAATCTGTTGTAAACTGACATTTTTTGTAAAATACAGTGAAAATGCTTTACTAGAAAAATGGAATAGAAAAAAGACATGTAAATTTAAGGTCACATATTTTTATTATTAGACTTAACATATATAAAATAGTCAAATTGGTAAAAATTTCTAAACAGCTCCTCTTTCAGTTTCCGTATTTATCTTGTCATAAGTCAGTTACTGTCGAGTCGATTCCGACTCATGGCGACCCCATGTGTGTCATAGTAGATCTGTGCTCTGTGGGTTTTCAGTGGCTGATTTTTCAGAACTAGATCTTCAGGCCTTTCTTCCGAGGTGCCTCTGGTGGACTTCAACAGCCAACCTTTTGTTTAGTAGCTGAGCACATTAACTGTTTGCACCACACAGGGACTCCAGCTAGCAAATGTCTCTGGACTGGCACTGATCTGTGGACCACACTTTGAGTAGCACTGAACTAGATGACAGCTTTTAGGGTCTCAGCAGAATTGTGGACATCTATGGGTTTGAGATACTGACCATAGGAAGTTGAAGCCAGAATGGGAGTCAAGAATAAGTTAACAGGAACCCCTGAGACTATGGCCTCCAGAAACTCTGCTAATTCAGAACTGAAACCACTCCTGAAGCCACTATTGTGACAAAGATTATACAGGGATATAAAACAAACAGTAACACACGTGAGGAACTTGCTCTTTAGTTCAGTCAAATATACAAGACCAAATGGGCAAATCCTGCCCAAAAGCAAGATGAGAAGGCAGGAAGGGGCAGGAAAACTGGACGAGTGGACACAGGGAACCCAGGGTGGAAAGGGGGAGAGTGCTGTCACATTGTGGGGATTGTCACCAATGTCACAAAACAATATCTGTATAAATTCTTGAGTGAGAAACTAACTTGAGCTGTAAAGTTTCACCTAAAGCACAATAAAGTTTAAAAAAAAGAATGAGTTAAGAAGTTTAAATAAGAAACAAATACTTTCTAAGCAGCAATCATCTTAGAATGCGTCTGCACGTTTCAAAATGCATAATTCAGTTTTGTGTTTTTTTAATCATTTGAGTTTCTTTTTTTTTTTTTTTTTATCACTAAAGACCAGTCTTTATAAAGTGAGGTCCATGGATTCACTACCTCAAAACCATCTAAAGTGCTTGTCAAAAAGTAGAGCCCCAGGCCCCACCCCAGACATAGAAAACAGAACCTTTGCAAACAGAGCTCGGGTATTTGCATTTAAAAAATAAGTCTTTCTTCTTCCTCCACCAAGTAATTCTTTGACGTATAGAGAATTAATACTGTGAGAATTTTAGTTGTGTGTGTATTTTAAAGAAATGATGAAATGAAAAAATTAACTATGCTGTAATTTTTTTCTAGTCATATCAGAGGAAGAAAATGAGCTAGGGCTCTTTTTAAAGTTTCAAGCAGAACGGGATGTCACTCAAGCTGGCAAAATAATGGATGCCACTGGCAAGGCACTCTGTTCTTCAGCCAAGCAAAGGTTTACCATGGTTTTCATCATCCTTAAATCTGTAGTGAATATGACAGTTTTGACATATGTACCTAAATTTGCATATTTGTAAAGGTCACTGATCATTCAAATAGATGGTAAAAGACAACTATATTGTAATACATAATTAGTTTAATACTTAACCATTAATTATTCATCTTGTATTTAAAATAATTGTTTAAAAATTTGAAGTTCCTGGTTGCTTAATTCCTTTAAGCCTCTATTTAAATTGCTTTAGTGGTTTTATGTAACCAAGTCACAGAACTATTAACATTTAAGTATATATATTTTCATTGTATTCTTTCACTGTTCCTTGATACTATGCTATCCATGAGTTGCTTGGAACTTTTTTTTTTAATGGGAGACTTTTTTTTTCTTACATACTTTCCATTTATGATTTTACAATTTTTTAGCATAAAAATACCTGCTGTAAAGTATCTCCTACAACTACTAAATATAGCCAAAATCATCTTGTTTTCAGAAAAAAAATAGGCCTATCAGACTGTTAATGCCAGTGTCCAACTTAAGTGGCTTCATTCCGAAATACCACATCAGTGCAAAAGTCCATCTTGAAGGGAGAGACAGAAAAATACTCAGTACAGGGCCTTCCAATGACACTGAGTCAAAAGCAGAGCAGACTAGTTGGATTTAACTTGTGTTTCTTTTGTTTTTAATTGTGTTAAATATATATGAAATAAGAAATCCCTCTTTTCTTGTTCTCAGCTGCTAAGAACTCATTTCTCATTAGTTCTCCTAGCATTTTCTTTGCTCTTCTACACCCAAAAAAAACCCCAAATCCATTGCTGTCAAGTTGATTCCAACTCATAGCGACCCTACAAGACAGAGTAGAACTGCCCCACAGGGTTTCCAAGGAGCGGATGGTGGATTCAAACTGCCAACCTTTTGGTTAGCAGCCGAGCTCTTAACCACTGCACCACCAGGGCTCCTTCTATACCCAGGCTGTCCCTAATTGTAAAATGAAAGACGACCTGTTTATAGGATTATGCTTTATGACTGGAGGGTCTTTATTACCCAAGGAAATCCTTTCTGAATGGCATATTTATTTGGCAGGTTATTTGTACATGAATTGACATTCAGAGTTTGCAAAAATTATGTATTTCTTAAAATAAGGAGAAGAGGAGATATAAACAAATTTCTATTAACAATTTAAAGTTGGCTATATGATCCTTATTTTCTTTTTAAAGTTCCTCAGGTATTTTAATAATTTTCTGTTTATAGACTCGACAGCAAATAATGCTTTATGGCCATTTTATAGCTTTGTTTTGTTTATGAGATGTATATCCTTCTGATTTTTATCTCTCTGCCATTAGATTAGCCCTGTATACTCCCCTGTCTCGACTTAAACAAGAAGTAGCAACATTCAGTCAAAGGGCAGTATCTGATACCTTGATGACAATTAATCGGATGGAACAGGCACGCACAGAATACAGAGGAGCTCTGCTGTGGATGAAAGATGTATCCCAAGAACTGGACCCAGACACCTTAAAACAAATGGAAAAATTCAGAAAAGTAAGAAAATATATTCTGTTCCTTTTCTTGATACATAAATCACTGGACCTGTCAAAGAGTAATTTAATCAAGATCCTAAAATGGCAGACTATTTTTGGAAAATATGTGTTAGATTATAAATTCTTGGATGCTTTAAGACCTTTGGTTGAAGGACAAAATGTTGTCACACGTTTTTACCCTTTTCCCCACCCCCATCAACCTCTTTTATTAATCTCTTTTTATCCTTTCCCTGATAAATCTAACTACTCTTAAAATGTTGCTTACCTGGAATTTTAGATTTGTTTGCAGGAAGAAAATAGTTTATTACTGAGGAAAAAAAATTTTAACTTAAGTAAAATTTTATGTAAGATAATTATTAACTATAAGAAAAAATTGAAATTATCGAATTTTTTATTCTGCCACAATACAAAGTTTGACCACAAACTTTTAAAGCAGATCTCTATGTATGGATATATGTTTTTGCTAAATAAACAACTTATTATAAATTATATCCCCTAAATTTACCATACATGAATAATTAAATTCATTCACTCCTTCAATTCATAAATATTTAGAGTACCTATAATAAAAATAATGATACTTAATATTGATGGAGCCTTTACTCTGTGCTGGCCGTTCTAAGCGGCTTACTTCATTGATTACTCCCCAAAGCTCTGTGAGGTAGGTGGACACCTACCTCAGGCCACAGCAACCTCTGTATTCCATCCCCTTTACAATCCTTGACAATTAGAATATAATCCAAACCCCGTATCTGGACCTCAGAAGCCCTGCACGGTCTATCCCTGATCCCTCTGCAGCCTCATCTTGCACTTGCTCGATATGATCAAACCCTACCATATTCCTTCATGTCTGTAATCTCGATAAGCTCTTTCCCTATCAGGACCTTTGTCCTTGCTCTTCCCCACACCTGGAATGCTGTCTCCATGGTCTCAGCTTGGCTCTCTCATAATCTTTCTATCTCAGTTCAAATGTCATGCACAAGCTTACCAAGGGCTTCCCTGATCATCTTATCAAAAGTAGTCATTCCATTTCCAGTCACTTGTTTTTTTAATCTTTGCAACATGAAATTTTCTTATATTTCTGTTTAATACTTTTTTCTTGTGCCTCTTCCACTTGGGGACTATAGGGAAGAACATTGTCTTGTCCACCACAATAACCCCAGTGCCTAGAACAGTGCCTGGCACATAGTAGATACCTTATAAACATTTGTTTATAATGAATGAATGAGAATATTTAAAAGTCGAGTATTAACACATGATTTACCATGTTGTTGTTGTTGTTAGGTACCATCAAGTCGGTTCCGACTCATAGCAACCCCATGTACCACAGAACGAAACACTGCCCGGTCCTGTGCCATGCTCACAATCATTGTTATGCTTGAGCCCATTGTTGCCGACACTGTGTCAGTCCATCTCGTTGAGGGTCTCCCTTTTTTTCGCTGACCCTCTGCTTTACCAAGCATGCTGTGTCTGTCAGTTTGTCGTACTGTAGGGGCTTGCATGTTGCTGTGATGCTGGAAGCCATGCCACTGGTATTCAGATACCAGCAGGGTCACCCATGGTGGACAGGTTTCAGCTGAGCTTCCACACTAAGACAGACTAGGAAGAATAACCTGCAGTCTAATTCTGAAAAGAATTAGCCAGTGAAAACCTTATGAATAGCAGCGGAACATGATTTACCATATATCTAAGAAATAGAACTGTATTTAAATGTATAAGTATACCTGCACTATTCAGAAGTGTTATTATTTCTTCTCAACATTTTAACTTATGTCCCCTCTGGATTTATTCTTCTACTCTTAGCTAATATTATACTATTTATGAGTAGTTTTGGATGTTGCTTTTTATTTAAAATAAGTATTTTCTTCTTAATTATATACTTTCCACTTACTATTTCATACTATCTTAGCATAGAGATATCTGCTGGAAAAGATCTCCTACAATTACTAAAAACAGCCAAAATCTTCATCATTAATCACAAAATAGTAATAATATAGGAAAAAAGAATTTGTTTTCCTTATTACAGTTCTTGTGTCTGAAAATATGTATTATAAGCCAGTATGCTGTATTTATATCTGTATTATCGGAAATAATAATGAACATTTTTGTGGTTACAGGTACAGATCCAAGTGAGAAATAGCAAAGCTTCTTTTGACAAGTTAAAGATGGATGTTTGCCAGAAAGTGGATTTACTTGGAGCTAGTCGCTGCAATATGTTATCTCATTCCCTCACTACCTACCAGGTACCCAACTCCATGGTCAGCATGTCCTTGCAGTAAAGATGAGTGGTGAGATTCCTTTTTAAAAGTTGTCTAAAGGGTGCGAAAAATAAGTGATCAGATTTCTTTGACTTTGCAATAATTGACTTACTGAGGCTATGACAGTCGAGTAATCATAAAATTCTAGACGTTAAAGATTGCTACTGTAGCTTCCAGTTGTGCCCCTTTATCATCCTAGGGGTTCATTGAGGGAAATTGAGGGGCCATATAGAGTTGAGGAGGGGAATGGCAAGAGGGCAGGATTCAAGGCCCATTAGCCCTGGTTCACCCAGAGCTGCTCCACTTGTTTTTGAACTTTCACATACAATTTCATTTGAAGCGAAGATGCTGTGCCCAAAAAGTTTGAAAACTTTTGTTTTGTTCTACTGTCATTTTATGGATGAGGAAAGTGCAACCTAAGAGAATGAAAGCAGATGGCAATGTTGGGCTTAAAAACCTATTTTCTAACTCTGGGTCGTGTGTTCTTTTCATTCTGCCAAGTTGCTGTCCCTTACCAGTTTAACCTCAGAAATGTCACTTGTGTTTCTACTACCGCAAATCTCACGTGAATAGCATACAATGAGTAAGTTAGATACTAGTAAATAGGAGACTTGTTTTGACATATATTTGTAAGCAGCAAAATAGTCAGGAGAATAAACTGTATTTTTGTAATAAAAAGAAAAGGACATTCATGGCTGCTTTTAAGGAATCCACCTAATTCAATTCAATACTGTGGAATTCAGGAATCAAGAAAGGATTCATTTGAGAAAAAATAGTGTATGACCATCTGCATAGCATAGTGTCTGAAACACAGTAGCTGTTAGTTCCATTCTCCTTTCTTCTCTGCACACATCCCCTCACCTTGAACAGGAACCTTGAAGCAGCAAGGAAAATGTCCAGTTACCTGAGTTAGCCTGAGAACAATTTTCTTGTCAAGCGTTTCTTGAACTCTAGATGAAAAACCAAGTTTAATTGTAAATATTGTTTTTCTCAAATTAATAAATGCTTATATATGCCTGCCAACATAAAGACTATATATCTGTTCCTGTCTTTATAGAGATTGCTATTTTCATGCTTTTAAAATTTCTCTATGGATTACTTAGAAGGTGTTCTAATCCATCAACTCTCATTCTCTTGACTGTAGTTACTTTCTAGGTGGCTCAAGTGTGCATGCCAGTGCTATATACACATAGGCACACATTCATGTAGACACAGATGCCAGTTCTTACACAAAATTACTATTTACAGTATTTTTTTGGTTTCACAAACTTGGAAAATTGAATTTAGTTCCTGATTTTTGTTATTTGGCAACTATTCATCTTTTTTTTTTTTTTTTTTAATTCATCTACTATACATACTATTTGTAAAGTTTTCACTGCCCAATTCTTTTCAGAAGTAACCGCCAGGTCCTTCTTCCTAGTCTGTCTTAGTTTGGAATCTCAGCTGAAACCTGTCCACCATGGGTGACCCTGCTGGTATTTGAATACTGGTGGCATAGCTTCCAGCATTACAGCAACATGCAAGCCCCCACAGTACGACAAATTGACATACTTGTTGTTGTTGTTGTTAGGTGCCGTCGAGTCATTTCCAACTCATAGCAACCCTGTGTACAACAAAACAAAACACTGCCCAGTCTTGTGCCATCCTCACAGTCATTGCTATGTTTGAGCCCATTGTTCAGCCACTGTGTCAGTCCATCTCGTTGAGGGTCTTCCTCTTTCACCGACCCTCTAGTTTACCAAGCATGATGTCCTTCTCCATGAACTGGTCCCTCCTGATACCATGTCCAGAGTTTGTGAGATGAAGTCTTGCCATCCTCACTTCTAAGGATCATTCTGGCTGTACTTCTTCCAAGACAGATATGTTCATTCTTCTGGCAGTCCATGGTGTATTCAATTTTATTCACCAGCACCGTAATTCAAAGGCATCAATTCTTCTTTGGTCTTCCTTATTCACTGTCCAGCTTTCGCGTGCATATGAGGCAATTGAAAATACCATGGCTTGGTTCAGGCGCACCTAAGTCTTCAAAGTGACATCTTTGCTTTTTAACACTTTAAAGAGGTCTTTTGCAGCAGATTTGCCCAGTGCAATACGTCATTTGATTTCTTGACTGCTGCTTCCATGCACATTGATTATAGAGCCAAGTGACCATTTCTTTTTCCTCAGAGAACACTGCTTGGATTCTGGGAAAAAACAGCTCGAATGATGTCCCAAATCTATGGGGAATGTGTTGACTCCTACCCATATGATTTTGTAGCTCTCAAGGTATATTTCTTTTCATGTTCTTTTGTTGTATGTATTACAATTCATTTGGGTGCTAAGATTAAAACTGTTTTTCTATAAGGCCTAATTTCAGATTTACAAAACTTTGGGAAATACTTTTCTGCACTCCTCAGCCAAGAATCTACACTTCCTGATTCCACATGCTACTAGCAACCCTAAGAAAATACATAGGATTGGCATTGGTAGGCTCAAGAGATTAGTAGGGTTGGGGGAAAAAGAGGAAGAAAGTGAAAGGAAAATTAAAATGCAGTGGATGTAGGAAAGAAAAAGTTAATGGAAAGGAAAAACTTATGAGGAACAAGTGATGGAAAGTTGTCATGTGTTCTCAAAAGTGACCAGATTACCTACCTGAGAATTTTAGAAGTTTAAAAAAAAATCCTTGTTTTACTTTTACACTGATACCACAGAATATATTGTTCTTTAGAATTTTTATTCTCATGTTGTTTGCACAATACAAAAGTTATGTCAGTTATGGTCATTATGTATGATTGCAGCCGAAGAAACTAACATATTAGAGCAGTTCTTTCTCTACCATGCACACCTGAAAGGTGATGTTTGGCTATGGTTATAATGCTTTTAACATTTGCATGTCTTCCTGTCATTCTTCTTTGCAAATGACTTGTACAGCTGAGTCACACTGTGCTAATCATTTCTTCAGCTCTGGTAGGCTAGATTTCAGTACCTTTTGTCTTCGCAGTCTGATTTTCAGTAGAGCTTTAAAGTATTGCTTGTGAATTTGCTCAGGCCAGATGTGAAATCTCTGATGGGTTCATATCTTACAACTATATATTCATGGGGCTTTGGTCTAGGTTTTTAAATCATGTTTTGACATGGCATCTTCCAGTGTGAAAGATGCCCTTGAATAATTTCTTTTTTTTTTTTTTTACTTTTATAATAAATGGCTTACTGGATAGCATACTATGTATTTAGGCAAGTTTGATGTCTCACTTCTACTTAGAATTAAAGTTGAAAATCTTTAGCTGTATTTAGAGCATTGCAGTGCAGGTTAGCTACACAGCGTAAGTCTTCTTTAGGCATATCACAAAGAGTTAACCCTGCGGCTAGCCCACATCGCAGTGTGTGTGGTTCTCGTAGGCAGCCAGGATAAACAAGTACATGGGGCTAATTCAAATTACATTCATACACATTTCTCATATCTGTCACTCTCTAGTTCCAAAAATATTCCTATTTCCTGTTGTTCTTTAGAATTTTTTATTCTCTTTTTTTTTTTTTTTTTTTGGCAGAGAGAGAAAAACAGATTCTTTTCATCTAGTTAACACTGAATTTCTTATCCTTAGCGACTGCAAGACACTTCAAGCAAGCTTACAGAAGACCACAAAGAAGAACAAATAGAAAACAATTCTCTTACTGAAAACCTCAATAAGTGAGCAGGCAAAAGTTATATATAGTGTTATGGAAGTCTTGGCTACCATTGTACCATATGTTTGGAAAGAGTTGTTTCTTCTCTGACTTACTGAATACACATATTTATTTTGAAGCCTCACATATATTTTCTTTCCATTTTTAACATGTTAGGCAAAGGAGATGACAGGAGTATAGAACAAATTGGGGTGATTACTCCAGACTCTCTAGTTTGGGAGACAGACCCTTGTAAGAAGAGCCACAAGTACCTCTACCCAGTGACTCCCAGAAGGGGCAGCTGGAGAGAAGAAAGGGTCAGGTGCCAGCAGCTGTGTGATAACAGCCCAGAAGACCCATGTTAAAAATCTATCTCTAAAACAGCACAGATGTGACTGGGATTGGTTATCTGAAAACTGGGGCTGTTTCTGCACATCCTTCAAGTTGCCTGTTTCCCTTTTATTACCTCTTCCCTTTGTTTTCTTCTAAGAGCCACCACTTAATACTCATTTTAACCAGATTGCACTGGATATGTATAAAAATATACCCAAATATAAGGCCAAAACAGTTGACAAATCATATATTCTTGAGGATTTTCTCTATGGGAAAATCTAAAGATTTTTGGCTAACTTAATAAAATGTCTAATTATAATTTAATTTTTATTAAATTTTATTATATTTTTCACTCACATTTTACGAGTTTTACTCAGAAATCTTCTTGGGATCTTCAGCATCATGATGGCTACTTTTTGAGTTAACTAATAGATTCCAGGGCACTTCAGTTTGTCTTCCATCTAAGCTGTTTAAAAAAACATGTGTGCGTACTCTCGTGGGAAATTTCATTCCCAGTCACAAGTACTTACTTGCTTTGTAAGTTTATTTTTGTGATAATTGCAAAATAAATATTGTATTTTTTTAAGTGTTTTTAAAGGCTAATGAAAAACAACTTCCAGTTCTAACAATAGTGAGGTAATATCCCAGGAATAATAACTAAATCTGTGTTAAATTTCTTTGCCTCACTTTTTGATATTTCATCAGATGGACACTGTAAATATCCCAAATTAAGATTGATTGAGAATGTTTTGGGCTAGTGTATTTTCTTTTGCAGACATGACTTTGTTGTTCAAAATAGTGTACCGTATTGTTTCTGAAGTTTTTTTTCCCTCTATTTAGTTCCCAAGTGTCCTTGAGCAAAACTCTTCAATGCTTGAAAACTAAACTCCAAAGTCTAGGGCTTTGGTGTTTCCTTTTAAGCTTGTCAAAATTGACAGATGTTTTCTATGATATAGTACTTAGTACAGTGCCTACAATGCTGAACATGATGCCTGGCTCTTGGTTGGTACTCAGTAAACGTTTATTGAATGAGTGAGGGGATGAAGGATTAATTTCACAGTCTGTGTGGATGTATAGAGGAAACAGGAAATTCTCTCAGACATAGATTTCAGGAACTCTACCAGACAACTATTTCATCTGTCTCCTCAAATTTTCAAAAAATTTTAAAACTACATAAAACTGTTTATTGAATATGAATCCCAAATGAATTTTAATCAAAATCTTTGCGTTTTTTAATTTTTACTTCAGATTAGTTTTGTTAAATGAGGAAGCAAACTTGGGAAGTGAACCAGGTAAGATGGTAAAATTCATTACTTTGAAATGATCACATTTTAAATATCAAAATAGTTTATCACAGCTTTTTAAAGGAGAGTGTGTTAAAATCCATTTAACTAAAAAAGACATGTTAAGTAAGTCACTTTATAGGTCCCCTCTGTACAAACACTTTTGAGTTATCTTTCTAAAAGTGCCTGATTAGAGGGTCCAGTAATCTTCTTTAGGGAATTCTGGTCTTCCCAAAGATAGGTGTTTTTAATTGCAAAAATCCAATGCACAGATAATAGGGTTGCGTGATTAAACTTCAAGTTTTTCTCATACTTTAATTGTGTAATTATTTTTTATTATAAATATATATATATTCCCACCCAAAACCAAACCCACTACCATCAAGTCGATTGGGACTCATAACAGCCCTGTAGGACAGAGTAGAACTGCCCCATAGGCTTTCCAAGGCTTTGAGCTTAATGGAAGCAGACTGCCATGTCTTTCTCCTGAGGATGGGCTGGTGGGTTCCAACTACCGACCTTTTGGTTGGCAGCCAGATGCTTAACCACTATACCACCAGGGCGCTTTATTATATATACAGTCAACACATATTTGAATCATTGTGGTAAAAGATAATTCAGGCTTTGGAGCCATAAAAACCTGGGTTTGAACCTGGGCTTTTTAATCAAGTCATTTCTGCATCTCTCATTTATCTCATCTGAAATATGAGTGATTTGTGCCTACTTGCAGGAACATTAGTGTTAGAGATAATAAAATCTACATAGCACATAGTAGGTGCCTGATAAATGAGCTATTTTTAAGTATATACCTAAATAGAAGTTATACTGATAAAAGAAGCAATTTAAGCCATAATAGTCGTAAACTTGTATATCTAACATAGCTTCAAAATGTATGTTCAGAAGGTTAGCTGCTTGTGTGTGTGTATAATCCTGCACAGAGAACATGTTTTAAAGTCACAAGAGAAACATGAGGGACATTTTCATAGTTTCATCGTCCATTCATAGTATTATTTTATCTTTTCCATCCTGCTGTGTTGATAGCTATGTACTTTTTAAATTCCAGTTATTTGTGCCTCCTCTCTTTTCTTGATTGATCTTGTTAAAGGTTTATTTATTATTCTTTCAATCAGCAGACTTTTTGCTTTGTTAAATCTTTCTACTGTGTCTTTGTCTTCTGTTTTATTAATTTCAGTTCTTATGTTTATCTTGGCTCCCATTGTAGAATAGGGCATAATTATCTTTTTCTTGATATGGGCCCAAAACTTGGAAGTAATTTTTTTCAAAAGCAGTGTTTTGCCTGTGGGAGTTTTAGTTTGTTTGTTTGATTTTTTAGATGTTAAAAATATTTTAAAAAAAGAGAGAGAATGTGCTATTTGATCACAAGAGAGTATGCTGTCTTTTAGCACATCTGTTTGATCTTTCGCTTCATATGAAATCACTCCTACTCAAGCTCTAGTTTAGGTGAGAAATGTGGAGGTACTTTCTATGTACTGCTCTTACAAGAATAAAGCAGCCTTTGAATTAAAAGTAGACTATATCCATTCATTCACTGATTCCACATAACATGAACATCCGTTGTGTCAGAGGCATGGAGTTCAGACAGAACAAAATATAAAATAGCCTTCACAGAGTATAGAGTAAGAGTAGGTCCACCAGGGAAGGAATAGTTTTGGAACTTTTCACATTCAAAGGGACATAGATATACCAACTACTGTCAGTATTCAGCAGTATTATAAAGCTATTTTTTATATCAACAATTTGTTACATAAAATTAATTTATATATATATACATATATATGTGACTCTTTAAACTTTTATTATATCTCCCTTCTAGATGGCTTATAATCTGACTTGGTCAGTTGGGTACTTTGGCTTAATTATTATAAATAATTAAGTAAATAAGCATGCTAAATTTGTTTTTCAGCCTATCTTTTATCTGCTTTTTTCTAGCAACTGAAGATCACAAGGAGAAACATTTTCAAATGAGAGATTCTGGAACACCTCTGTTTTCTAACTCTGAAAATGGTAATATATTATAATTTCACTATATATATGGATAATTTATTATTGGAAATTCTTCCATTTTTATTTAGTATCTTTTTTATCATTAGAAATTATGTAGGTCTCTAAACAGGGATGCAACCTTATACTTCTACTTTGTAACATATCTTAATGGAGATTAAATAGTTCTTTCTTTTGTATGTTTGGGTCCAATCAGAATGTGTCCATATAACTGTGTGTACAGTTAGGACTGTGTCTGTCTTACTCTCTCAAGTATCTCTACCATCCAGCAGTGTAGGAACTCAGTGAATAGTTATTGAACAGATGGATACAATTTGTACAGCCAGCATTTTGAAAAACTAGCAAATTATTAAATGTCATTCAGTATTAAAGAAATTAAAATAATTATTTAATAAACCAACGAATGCCCCCAACATTGTGATTTCCTTATCTGTAAAATGAGGTAGCAAGACTACATCAACTTTACTTTCTAGCGTTAAAAACTACCTTGAATATCTTCCTCAAGCATTAAATGGTCTTGCCACCCTGGTTGAAAATCAGTTGACCATAGACACTTGGTGTTATTTCTTGACCCTCAATTCTATTCCATTGATCTATGTGTGTATCCTTATGCCAGTATCATACTGTCTTGAATACCACTGGTTTGTGTTAAGTTTAAAATCAGAAAGTGTGAGACCTCCAACTTTGTTCTTCCTTTCCAAAATTGTTTTGGCTGTACTTGTTCCTTTGCAGTTCCACATGAATTTTAGAACCAGCCAGTCAATTTCTACAAAGAAATCAGCTAGGATTCAGATAGGGATAGTATTGAATCTGTAGATCTGGAGAGTGTTGCCATCTTAACATTTATTAAATCTTCTGATTCATGAACATGGGATATTTTTTCATTTATTTAGATATTCTTTAATCTCTTTAACAATATTTTGTCATTTTCAGAATGTAAGTTGCACTTCTTTTGTCATATTTATTCCTAAGTATTTTATTCCTTTTGATGCAGTTATAAATGTAATTGTTTTCTTAATTTCATTTTTGGATTGTTCATTGCAAGTGTATAGAAGTACAATTAATTTTTATATATTGATCTTGTATTCTGCAACCTTGCTGAACTTGTTTTTTCCAGTAGTTTTTAAGTGGATTTCTTAGGATTTTCTATATGCAAAATCAAATCATCTGCAAATAAAGGTAGTTTTATATCTTCTTTTCCAATCTGTATGTTGTTTATTTATTTCTTGTCTAATTGCCCTAGCTAGAACCTCCACTACAATGTTGAATAGAAATGGTAAGAGCAGACATTGTTTTTTTTTTTTTATTTTGAATTGTTTCTTTCTTTTTTTATTGTACTTTAGATGAAGGTTTACAGAACAAGTAGTTTCTCATTAAACAGTACACATATTGTTTTATGACAATGGTTAACAACACCATGATAAGTCAACACTGTCCGTTCTCAACCTTGGGTTCCCTATTACCAGCTTTCCTGTCCCCTCCTGCCGTCTAGTCCTTCTCCCTGGACTGTTGTGCCCCGTTAGTCTTGTTTTGTTTTATGGGGCTGTCTAATCTCTAATCTTCGGCTGAATGGTGAACCTTGGGAGTGACTTCATTACTGAGCTGAAAGGTATCCGGGGGTCATACTCTCGGGGTTTCTCCAGTCTCTGTCAGGCCAATAAGTCTGGTCTTTTTTTGTGAGTTAGAATTTTGATCTACATTTTTCTCCAGCTCTGTCTGGGACCTTCTGTTGTGATCTCTGTCAGAGCAGTCAGTGGTGGTAGCCAGGCACCATCTATGTACTGGACTCAGTCTGGTGGAGGCTGTGGTAGTTGTGGTCCATTAGTCCTTTAGACTAATCTTTTCCTTATATCTTATTTCCTTCATTCTCCCTTGCTCCTGAAGGGGTGAGACCAGTGGAGTATCTTAGATGGCTGCTCACAGGCTTTTAAGACCCCAGACGCTACTCACCAAGGTAGAAAGACATCCTTCTCTTGTTCCTGACTTTAGGGGGGAAGCATCTACCCTTTCACCATTAAGTACTGTGGGTTTTTTGTAGATGCCCTTTATCAGATTGAGGGAGTTCCCTTCTGTTCCTAGTTTGTTGAGTCTTTTTATCATGAAAAGGTGTTGGATTTTTCAAATGCTTTTTCTGCATATATTAAGATGATCATGTGATTTTTGTTTTTTATCCTATTAATATGGTTTCTTACATTGATTTTCAGATGTTGAACCAACCTTACATTCTTGGGATAAATCCCATTTGGTCATGGTGTATAATCCTTTGTTGTTGGATTCAGTTTCCTGGTATTTTGTTGAGGATCTTTGTGCCCATATTCACAAGAGATTATTGGTCTGGAGCAGGGATGGATTACCCAATAAGCGAGGTACCATGGGCTTAATTATGCTTACTTACTAATCTGTAGTACCCAGTTTCACCTGGGTTTTGGATATGGTGAAACCCAGGTGAAATTATGCACTACAGATTTGTAAGTAAGCACAGTTGAGCCTGTGGTACCTTGCTTACTGTAAGCTGGTGCTCCATACCGTGCTTACTGGTTAATCCGCCCCTGGTCTGGAGCTTTCTTGCAGCGTGCTTGTCTGTTTTTTGGTATCAGGGTAATACTAGCCTTATAGAATGAATTGGGTAGTGTTTCTTCCTCTTTTATTTTTTGGAAGAGATTGTGAAGAATTGATATTCTTTTTTGAATGTTTGGTAGAATTCACCAGTGAAACTACCTGGGCCTGGGCTTTTCTTTGTAGGTTGTTGTTTGATTACTAATTTAATCCCTTCACTTATTACAGGTTTATTTGTTTAGTGACTGGCTGGATTATTTTAGTGGAATCTATCCCCATCCTACCCCCTCATCTGCAGTGTTAAGCCTTTGATGTTGCTGTTCAGGGGGTACAGCCTTGGGTATGCCCATAGTCACCCTGGGGTGACAGTGGCTTTGGCAGTGTTCTTTGACAGTGTGAATATACCCAGGTGTTTAGTTCCACTAATTTCTGATTAATTGTTCTTATTATTTTCCACAGTGCCTAAATTGCTCTATAGACTAAGCCAATCACATTCGGGATCCTTTGAAGGGATGTTCCCAAGGTCAGTGTTTGAGATTTGTTTTGACTCCAGGCAGATTCCTCCAAGCTGGCTCCTCCCCACATCGCTCTTCTCTTGGACAGTCTAGGTGGTCTCCAGTTTAGCCTGTTTGCCCAGTGAATCCACCAATCTCCTCTCAGTTACTTTTCACCATAATCTCCACTGTTTTTGAAAGTGACTTTAGGTTTGAACTTCTCCATAGTCTGTTGCTAATGAAGTCAGTTCCTTTGGGAAGAGATTAGGAGCTATCTGTTTTACAGCCTGCTTCTTCTCCCAGGAAAAATCTTCAAGCCAAGACTGGCGCTGGGTGTGGGGACAATGGCATGCTTCTTTCTGAGTGACACTTCCACATTAGAAACTAAGTGCTTAGTGGAGGGGAGGCAGTAGCCTCAGTCTTCTCAGTTTACTTCTCCTAACATGGAACCATTTCCTTACAAGTCAGGGCAAGGGCGATCAGGCCCCAGTATTCTCAGTGGTACTATACCCAAGGTTGAGCCTTCATCCCATGAGTGGGGTTGGGCGGAAGAAGGGAGCCCCCACCTCTTGGTCACACTAGTCCAGAACTTACCCAGAGCAACAGGTAGCTGAGGACAGGATGTGAAATGCTGATGTTGTGCTCCTCCCCAGAAGATAACCCCCTGACTGGGAGCTAGCGGGAGAGTGAGCCTAGTGGTTGTGGCTATACCAGTCTGGAGTAGTTTCCATCTCTATGAGTTAGGAGGGGAGAAAGAGGGAGTGGGTCTCGGTTCAGATACCACAGACTCTCACTATTCTCCCTGGATTTTAGTTGATTTCCTTGAGTAAATGTTTCTTAATTTGCTATATGTCCTTGGGACCATTTCCAGAGACTTTAAATGGTTGTTTTTAAATTTTCACTAGATTCGCGGCGATGCTGGTCCTCAGAGCTCCTCACACTGTCATGATGGAAGTCACTGTCTTTCATTTTTATTGATGAAGGTGTTTAGGGCTATGCTTTTCTCCTCTGTTCTTTGCTACCTAAGTATCCTATGGATTATGATATATTTTCTTCATCATTATTTTTAGATATTCTATTCCTCTTTCACACAAGAATTGTTTAATAAAGGTTTTAAATTTTCCAGATGGAAGAGTCTTTTTGTTTTTTTGGTTTTATTTTTAAATTATAGTTTTATTGCATTGTAATCAGAATGTTGTTTGTAATATTTCTTATTTAGTAATAAAGAAGACTTTGTAAAGTTTCTTCTTTAAGAAACTTACTGATTTTTTTGTGCCTTCGTATAATCAATTTTGTGAATTTTCAGTGTGTACTTTAGAAGAAGGTATATTTTCTATTATCAGCAATTTATATGTAGCCAAACAACTAACTTATTGATATATTGTTTAGATGTTTTTATATCTTTACTTATCTTTTGTGCTGTTGACCCCCCCGCCTTTTTTTCCCAACTGAGAGTGGTGTATTAAAGTCTCCAATATTAGTTTATTTTTCTCTATTTGTCCTTGCATCTCCTGTAGTTTCTGTTTTATATAGGTGGTTGTTTGGTTATTTTGTATATAGATATTCATGACTGTTACACCTTCATTGAATATGGCCATTTCAATCTTTATCCTATCCAATTCAAAATAATTTTCACGTAAACTTTAGTGGTTCATTTTAATTATAGCATAAATGTTTTATCATGTTGTAGCAAACATTTCCCTGTGTTTCTGGAGTATTCATAATCGGCATAACATAGTTTATAAAGAAAATATTCTGCATTCTACTTGGGTGAGTAGCATCTGGGGTCTTAAAAACTTACGAGCAGCCATCTAAGATACTCCACTGGTCTCACCCCTTCGGGAGCAAGGGAGAATGAAGAAAACCAGACACAAGCGAAAGATTAGTCCAAAGGACTAATGGACCACAGCTACCCCGGCGTCCACCAGACTGAGTCCAGCACAACTAGATGGTGCCTGGCTACCACCACCAACTGCTCTGACAGAGATCACAATAGAGGGTCCTGGACAGAGCTGGAGAAAAATGTAGAACAAAATTCTAACTCACAAAAAAAGACCAGACTTATTGGCCTGACAGAGACTGGAGAAATCCCGAGAGTATGGCCCCCAGACACCCTTTTAGCTCAGTAATGAAGTCACTCCTGAAGTTCACCCTTCAGCCAAAGATTAGACAGGTCCATAAAACAAAATGAGACTAAAGGGGCACACCAGCCCAGGGGCAAGGACTAGAAGGCAGGAGGGTACAAGAAAGCTGATAATAGGGAACCCAAGGTCAAGATGGGAGAGTGTTGACATGTTGTGGGGTTGGTAACCAGTGTCACAGAACAATATGTGTACTGTTTAATGAGAAGGTAGTTTGTTCTGTAAACCTTCATCTAAAGTACAATAATAAAAAAAAACTTGAAAACAAAAAAATTAAGTTAATAAAGTATGAGAACAATGAAACAAATTTGATTTGTCCTACTATTATTTCCTCAAAAAGAAAAAAAATGCATGTTTTTATTTTCACTCAATAGTTGCAAAAGATCTCCTTGTAGATTCACTGGAAGGAGAGGATTTTGAGAAGGAATTTTCATTTCTGAACAATCTCCTAAGTCCTGGTTCTTCAAGTACTAGTGAATTTACCCAAGAATGCCAGACTGCACATGGGAGCCCCAATACCAGCCTTACGTCCCAGGAGCCTTCTCTGGGGTCTGAGCCTCTTGCTCATTCTTCTGGATTCCTTCCTTCACAGCTCTTTGACCTTGGCCTTCATGCTGCTGGAGCTTTCAACAGTAAGTGTCTACATAACACGTGTGCCTTATTTTATCTTTGTAAAGCAAAACTAGGTACTCGCTAATGCCAGAACAAGATCAATTTCAACTTCAGTGCTACTAGATAAAATCTGCAGTCACAACGTTCAACTAGAAAAATAATAAATATAATCGGCACTGGAATTTGTAAACAAGAGTGAAACGAGGGCTGCTTTCCCGTTGCCTCTACCAAACCCCACATTTCCTTCATTGACTTTCCCCGGCATCTTGCCTACATAGAAAATCAGTGTCTTGTTTAAAATGCCTGATCTGCCACGTTACCTCTACCTAGGGCAGGTGGTACTGTTTCTTCTATTATGGGAGCTGTTATGGAAAACAAATGAAAAGCAAAACTTGATGCATTCTAGTTCCTGTGGGTTCAGAGATAACAAGAGAAAAGGGAACAGCTCTGGAAGCTGGTTTCAGGGCAGCCCTTTGGGCAAGGCAGCAGGAGTGAAGGGCTGTGGTGGAAATTAGGGGCAAAGCGTTTTCCTAAGGAAAGGGTCACCTATTTTGTTTATATCTTTAGGTCTGCCTCTACTTATTTGCTGCTCCACCATCCTGTGCCCATTTCTGCCCCTTGGGAGTTACTGGCTTCCTCCTTACGTCCATATTGGTTACCAAGTCCTGTCAATACTGTTTCTAAAACATGTCTCAAATTTCCCACTTCTCTCTCTGCCCCCATGATCAGAGCTATTTGGAGCTTCATTTGGTTACCTGGGTTGCTGCAAGAGACCTACCTCCTAACTGGTCTCCCAACCCCCAATTCAACCTCCCCACTGCCTCTAATGTTCTCTCTCCAAGAAGCAAATCTGATGTCAGCATCCTGCTTACGTGTTTTTAAAATGAAGCACCATGGACTACATAAAACCTGCCTGTGCCTGCATTTCCACCTTGATCTCCTACCTTACTTCAAAACACCATTGTCTGTAGCCATACTGAGTAATCCCAGATCCCTCCAAGGCATCTTTGTTTGTGTCACTCCTTTGGCCTATGATGTTCAGTGATGGAGCGTGGACTTGAGCCTGAGTGTCTGAGTCCCAGTCCAGTGTTCTCTCCATGACTGCCAATCCTGGAAACCTTCCTCAAGACTGCCAACTGGAAGTGATTTCTCCCTTCTCTGGCCTCCCGTAGCTCTTTGTTATATCTGTTCTTCATGGCTTTAATGATAGTTTATCTCTTATACTTGTCTTATATTCCTGTCTCTCATCCCCTAGTAGATTTTAACCTCTAAGAAAAACCCTCATGGCGCCTAACAGTGTCATAATACACCATACTTTGTATTGTATTTATTTATGCTTATACTATATCTGCAAGACCATCATATTTTATCCAATCTGCAAGCACCTCAAAGGCATGATCTGTGGGGTGATTTGTCTTTGTGTTTCTGTAACAGCAGCATAAAGTTAGCTCAATAAATGTATTTGGTAAAATAATCATCCAATACAGATTTGTTGAATTAGTAGCCTAAAAGTAGGTATGGACACTGTTACTTGACAAAGAAGTGCTCTATCTAGGATAATTTAGGTGTTTTGCTGTAGTAAAATTTTAGGAAACACTTGGTCTTGCGTGACATATCAATCGCCTGATAGTTACAAGGATTTACAAACTGTTCATTCTCTACTGTGAACTCTCACTGCTCTTTCTCCTTAACTTGCCACATCTCCAGCAGCACTGGATTCTTAATTCTTATTTCCTGACAATACAGTATCAACAATATATTTTCACTATTCAGAGCATCTCTTAGTCTGGTCCCTGTCTGCAGGCTGACAGGACATCCCCCATTTTAATAGCTGAGGCAGTTAAACCCACAGCGTTTGAGTGTCTTGCTCAAGGTCTTCAGGCAGTTTAAACAGTTAAGTGGGGACCAAAATCTGTTCTCCTACCTCCATATGCAGGACTCTTCTACTTCATTAACCTTTCCTTTCTGCTCACTTCTTTTCTCCTGTTATGTAGACCTGGAAAGTGAGCTGCCCTGAGAGTTAAAAGATATGTATTCTAGGAACCCAATCTTGGGGCTCAAACTGTCTCTTCTGTACAAGGAAGAGATTAGGCAGGATAATCTAAGTTCCTTTCTAGTGTTCTGTTTTAATTATAGCATAAATGTTTTATCATGTTGTAGCAAACATTTCCCTGTGTTTCTGGAGTATTCATAATGACACTTTTTAATGGTTACATAGTATTTTGGCACATTTATATTCCATAATCTACTTAATTCCTTCTTATTGCTTCTACTTATTCATTATTACAGACAATGCTGCAGTAAACATAATCATGCATACACTTTTTTCTCTAGTTAAATTACTTCCTTAAGATAAATTTCTAGAAGAGATTACGAGTCCAAGGGTATAAACATTATTTATAGGTTTGGAGATCCTACTTCTCAGGTCTATTTCCTATCTTTCTGACTCCTTAGAACTTCTCTTTTTATACCTCCTCATTTGCAATTGTTTTAAAAAAAAATGAGTATTTCAAACTCATTTTGAAAAATGTAAGGAAGCCGAATCTGATTGCAGCTGGGACAAAACTTAGATGATTTGTTTGAATCAAATACATAATCATAGATAAATTTTAAGAGTTGTATACCTCTTGTACTATAGACTCACCCTGATAGTCAAAGACTGGAGGACCTATTAGATATTTTTACCTTTTCTTAGCTTTTCTGATACTACTTCGTACTTGATTAACAATGGATAATTCAGTATTTCCCTCCCCCAGGCTTGGCCCGTCATAGAGGATCAGAGCTTCCTCTTCCCCACATGGATAATGAGTCAGTGCCTTCACAGAGCCCAAAGAAGTTAACAAGCTGTAAGTTACTTATCTATACTCTTTCCCACCACATTAACAATCAGTTCAATTCAGATAAATTTAGAAAAGGATCACTTTATAGTCATTGCCTCACACTGTCCAGAAAAATATTTTATTAATAAGGAATTATTATTAAAATGAAAACTATTCCTGGCTATCCGTCACTGTGTAAAGCAATGAATAGAAAATTATGAGCTCGTCATAGTATACTAAGTTCTGTACTGTAATCTTTTATATTTCATGTTAAGGTTTGTTGATAATGGATACCATTAGGAATAAACCAGTTGCTGTCAAATTGATTCTGATTCATGGCAACCTCATGTGATCGCCATTAGGGATAGAAGATAGTTTCGTTTTGTTTTTTTGTGGTAAAAATATATATAACCTTAACCAATTCAACATTTTTTACGTGTATAATTCAGTGACATTGATCACATGTATCATGTTGTGCAACCATCACCAGTAGCCGTTGCCAAATTTTCCATTACAATTAACAGATACTCAGTGCTTCCTAAACAATGACTCCCCCTTGTCCTGACCCTCCCATCCCTAGTAACCATTAATAAACTTTGGTCTCTATACATTTGCCTATTCTAGATATTTCACATACAAGGAATCATACAATATTTGTCCTTTTGTGACTGACTTAATTCAGCACAATGTTTTCAAGGTTCATCCATTGTTATAGTATTATCGGGACTTCATTTTTCTTTATGGCTGAGTAGTACTCCACAGTATGTATGTACCACATTTGGTTTATCCATTCATCTGTTGATGGACATTTAGGTTGTTTCCATCTTTTGGCTGTTATGAATTGTGCTGCAATGAATATTGGTGTACATGGGGCCCTGGTGGCACAGTGGTTAAGAGCTTGGCTGCTAACCAAAATGTCGGCAGTTTGAATCCACCAAGGAGCTCCTTGGAAACCCTGTAGGTCATTTCTACTCTGTCCTATAGGGTCGCTATGAGTAGGAATTGACTCGACAGCAATGGTTTTTGTGTCTGAGTCACTGCTTTCAAGTCTCTGGGAGTAGAATTGCTAGGCCATATGACAGTTCTATGTTTAACTTTTTGAGGAACAGCCAAACTGTTTTCCACAGCAGCTGTACCAATTTACATTCCCACCAGCAATGCACAAGTGTTCCAATTTCTCTACATCCTCGCCAGCATTTTTTTTTTTTTTTTAAATCTCAGCCATCTGTGGTGTGATTAATTACTTTTGTGTGTGGCATTTTTAGCCGTGGTCTTGTGACTCCCACCCAGGTGATTTGGTGGGGCTGTGCAAATAACTGTGGCCCACCAAGGGGATTGGTCGGTTTTGCCTTAAGAGAGCCAATTCCAGAGTAGAGAGGAGAGCCCACCACCACCAAAGAAGAAGAGACCTGCAGGAGACAGTGCAGTGGGCTTACCGGCTCACAGAGCGAGAAAGCTGAGTGCCTTTGGGCAGAAGCTGAAGGCCAGGGGGAAGTCTATGCCTGACCCACGAATTTGGGACTTGCCAGCCTCCACAACCGCATGAGCCATTTCCTTTATATCGTTCATGAGTTCTGTGAGACATTGCAGCAAATTAGGGAACCCAAAGACAGGAGGGAGAGTACTGAGGCGAGAGGGAGTAGTTGATGTTAGAGATGATGGAGTGATACAGCAGCTTGGAAAAGTTAGATATTTGGAACATCTTTAATCTCTGCCTCGTAGGAACAAGCTTTGTGCTGATCCTTATGAAAGAAATTATTCATTTACCATCCTGCTGGTTTTGATTTGCATCTCTCTAATGGCTAATGGGGGCCCTGGTGGTGCAGTGGTTAAGGCTGCTAACCAAAAAGGTTGGCAGCTTAAATCCACCAGCTGCTCCTTGGAAACCCTATGGAGCAGTTCTTCTCTGTCCTGTAGGGCCGCTATGACTTGATGGCAGCAGGTTTAATGGCTAATGGGAGTCCTGGTGGTGCAGTGGTTAAGAGCTGGCTGTCAGCCAAAAGGTCAGCAGTCAAATGCACTAGCTGCTTCTTGGAAATCCTATGGGGCAGTTCTACTCTGTCCTATATGGTCACTACGAATTGGAATCGACTCCATGGCAGCAGGTTTAATGGCTAATGATGTTGAGCGTCTTTTCGTGTGTATATCTTCCTTCTGTGTATCTTCTTTGGTGAACTGTCTATTCGGTTCCTTTGTCCATTTTTTGATTGGATCATTTGCATTTTTGTTGTTAATTTTTAGGGGTTCTTTTCATATTCTGAATATTAAACTCCTATCCAATATATGGGTCCCCCAGATTTTCTCCCAGTCTGTAGGTTGTCTCTTCACATTGTTGTTAAAGTCTTTTGATGAACAAGTTTTTCATTTTGATGAAGTCCAGTTTATGTATTTTGTCTTTTGTTGATTGTGCTTTTGGTGTTGTATGTAAGAATTCATTGTTAAAAACTGGTTCTCAAAGCCATACCCCTATGTTTTCTTCTAAAAGTTTTATGGTTTTAGTTCTTAAATTTAGGTTCTTGAACCATTTTGAGTTAGTTTTCAAATGTAGTGCAAGATATGAGTCCAGTTTCATTCTTTTACATGTAGGGGTCCAGTGTCCCAGCACCGTTTATTAAAGAGACTCTTCTTTCCCTATCGCATGGACTTGGCGCCCTTGTCGAAAATCAGTTGACCACAGATATATGGGTTTATTTTTGGACTCTCAATTCTATTCTATGGGTCACTGTGTCTGTCACTTTACCAGTACTAGACTGTTTTGATTACTATAGGTTTATAGTATGTTTTGAAATCATACTTTCTTGTGAGTATTCCTGCTTTCTTCTTCTTTTTCAAGATTGCTATAGCTATTCAGGACCCCTTGCAATTCCATATGAATTTTGAGGACTTGCTTTTCCATTTCTGTAAACAATGCTGTTGGAATTTTGAAAGAGATTGCATTGACTCTGTAGACCATTTTGGGCAGTATTGACATCTTAACGATATTAAGTCTTCCAGTCCATGAACACAGAATGTCTTTCCATTTATTTAGGTCTTCTTTAATTTCTTTCAGTAATGTTTTATTATAATTTTCATTGTATAAGTCTTTCACCTTTGTAAAAGTGGCATGGCAGTGGCATCTGACCTCCTCTAACTTCACAAGGGGGAAGGAGAATCAACATTAAGAGCCCAAGGCTGATTGCTATGAGGTGGAGTTCAGACGTGTCTCCTCTCTCTGCCGTCTTTACCAATTCTGACACCAACCGTTCGTCCGACAGCATCTCTACTTCTCTGCTGGGTTTGACAATTCATTGCAGTGGCCACAAAGAACTCACAGACAATATTCACAATATGGGGCTTATTAGGGGAGTAACAGGTTACAGTTCAGGTTCAGGAACGCTCAGGATACAGTTCTTCCGTCAGGACAGCCTCTTCTCAGCTGAGCTTGCAGGCATGCCTCTCTCTGTCCCCTTGGCCTCTGCCCTGCTTGGGCAAGTGTTACAAAGCTCTTTTAGCTCTGGCCGATAAGTGCCCAGAGGCACCCTGCTCCGCCAGCAAGCTTCCTGCCCAAGGGTGCTCAGCTTTCTCGTTCCGTGGGCTGGGAAGTCCAGCACGCTGTCTCCTGCCGATCTCTCCTACCACCATTTCGCTGCCACCGCTTCTTGCTGTCTTCAGTGTTAACAGTTCTCTCTCAGTTCTCCTGGTTCCAGGAGCTTCTTAGCGCCAGGAACCCAGGTCCAAAGGCCATGCTCTGCTCTTGGCTCTTCTTCCTTGGTGGTGGTGAGATCGTCCTCCTCTGGAATTGGCTGTGTTTTACGCTAGCGGGATGGCAAAACTGACAAATCCCCTTTGTGGGCCACAATCACCTTATTTGCACAGTCCCACCTAGTCATTTGGGTGGAGTTACAAGACCATGGCAAGAAAGGCCACACAAAAGTGATCCATCAAACTGACTGCAACATTCCTTGTTAAGTTCATTGCTAGGTATTTTTTCTTTGAGATGCTATTTTAAATAGAATTGTTTTCTTAATTCCCTTTACAGATTGCTTGTTGCTGGTGTATAGAAGCCCAGCTGCTTTTTATGTGTTGACCTCGTACCCTGCAGTGTTGCTGAATTCCTGTATTAGCTCTAGAAACTTTCTTGTGGATTCTTTGGGATTTTCTATAGGCTCATGTCATCTGCAAACAGGGAGAGAGAGTTTTACATTTTCCTTTTATTTCTTTTTCTTGCCTTGTTGCTGTGGCTTGGACTTTCAGTACAATATTGAACAGCAGGGGTGAGAGCAGGAATCCTTTTATTGTTCCTGATCTTAAGGGGGAAAGTTCTCAGTCCTTCTCTATTGAGTATGGTGTTAGCTGTGGGTTTTTCATAAATGTCCTTTATCATACTGAAGCATTTCCCTTCTATTTCTAGCTTGTTAAAGTTTTTGTCATGAAAGGTTGTTGGATTTTATTAAATACTTTTTGTCAATTGAGATGGTCATGTGGTTCTCCTTTATTCTATCAAATGTTGAACTATCCTTGCATTCTTGGAATAAATCCCATTTGGTCATGGTGTATAATCCTCTTAATATGCTGTTGAATTTGATTTTCTAGTATTTCGTTGAGGATTTTTGCATCTATAGTCATAAAGGATATTGCTCTGTAGTTTTCTTTTGGTGTCTTTATCTGGCTTTCATATCAGGGTAATGCTGGCCTCATAGAATGAGTTAAGGAGTGTTCCCTCCCTCCTCTTCTATTTTATGGAAGAGTTTGAGCAGGATTGGTGTAGTTCTTTAAATGTTTGTTAGAATTCCCCAGTGACACCATTTGGTCCAGGACTTTTTTTTTACTGGGACGTTTTTGATTACTGATTCAATCTGTTCCCTTGTTATGGGTCTGTTGCGATTTTATTTTTTCTTGAGTCAGTTTAGGTAGATTGTGTTTCTAGGAATTTGTCCATTTCATCTCAGTTATATAGTTTGTTGGCATAACAATTGTTCATACTATTATGATCCTTTTTATTTCTGTCAGGTTGGTTACAACGTCCCAAGTTTCATTTCTGATTTTAGTTACAGTCATGTGTAGCTTCATGTCCACGATACATTCCTGTGAAATAGGATGTTATGTGATTTAGATGTTATATGAACACCTGGGTCCACAGGACACAGGCTCCCGGATGCACAGGCCTGGAAGCTGCTGTGTGGCATGCAGCCCAGGCAGCTCCTGCTGTGGACACATCAGGTGAGCACTCAGTCAGGTCATGGCAGGAAGGTTCCGGGTGTGGGCCAGGGCAGCAGGGGAGCGAGTGGTCTTGGCGACCTAGCACTCCTGCCCCAGCCACCCACAAGGTGCCTGCTAGGCCTGGGGCGCTGGGGAGCAAGAGCAGGTGCCCCCCCCCTCCCATCAGCAGAGTCACCTGTTCCCTCAGGTTGGGTACAGCACTGTGGGCCTGCTGCTGAGTTGGGCTGTGGGCTTCCCCTGGAGAGCAGGCGCCAGACCACAGACATAGATGCAGTCAAACATTGCCTGAATTGATGGTATGCTGTGCATGACTATGTTTGCACCTTCTCTTCTTTTCTTTGTACCCTAAACGTTTGCCGATTTTATTGATCTTTTCAAAGAACCAACTTCTGGTTTCGTTGACTATTGTTTTTCTATTGCTTCATTTTCATTCTTTCCCCATGGATTGCAGTTGTTCTCTCAGCCCCAATTGTTGAAACCTGTAATAGTCCATCTGCTCAGCAACCTCCTCTGTTATTGAGGAGACCACCCTCCAAAATATGTGTGAATATCAAGGACTCTGATCCAAAGCACATGTTCTCCTGGTGTTTTGAAGATTTTCTTGTACTTCAGAGAAAAAACAAACAGCAAAATACAGAAGCTATCTGATACTCCACTGCTCTGGGACCGCTGTTGTTACTTGATGTAGTCTGCAGCGGACTGTTAGTGCCTTTTCCATGTGTACTGTTCAATTCTGTTATCTCTGCAGTCAGTCAGTAGCCTGATTCCACCAGAGGGCGCTCTGGCCCTTTGAGTTAGAAAGCAGGGACAAGCTGCTGCTGCAGAAGGGCCCAGTCTCCGCAACCGTCGGAACCTGCCTTTCTGGGCACCACCAGACTTACCCTTCTGTGCAGTGTGCAACCACAAAACCTTGTGGGGAAAGGTCTCCACTGCTCGCCCTGGCACCAGGCAGCCACTCTATGAACAAGAGTCGCGTCCCCACCTCTGCTGTGGGGCTGAGGAACGGATGGTTGCCAGTTGGTGTAAGTGGTTAACGTAGGTAAGATCAGCAGCTTATCCCTTCATTAAGCACTTCCCTGGCTGATTTAAGTGTCTGATCTGTTTCCAGAGTTCCAAAATAGTTTGTTCTAATTGCTCTTTCCTGAGCAATAGATGGTTTTGTGAAGGGATGAACCTTTAGAATTTCCTAATCTTCCACTTGCATAACTACACTTTGCTTTTAAAGTTCTAACTTTTACAAGAAAAACGCACAGCAGCCCCTTTCCTTTGGCGTTTAGAAGCCTATTGTTGCCTCAGTCACGGTGATTATTCCCAGGTGATTCAGGGCAGTCACAGCGGCAGGCGTCACTCACTCCCACCCCCTACCCCCAAGACTTGTATGAGGGAAGCTGGCTATTCCGGGAGGATCCCACCCCTCAGCCCATTAGGCAGCCCCCAGACGGATATTAAGAATTACACACAATGGTTTCTGCCAGCAAAAGCTAAGTCTGATGCCATACTCCTGGGCCAAAGGGGAGCACAGTTCACAGTTCACAACTGGCTGCACCAGGTCGGTCACAGCCCTCACTGCCATGGACCAGGAAGAGCATATACAGTAGATACATTTTCCTACTGTTGAATGTCACCTTATTATTGCTTCAGTGTTGCTTTAGATGCTGTAACTCTTTGACTGGTTTCTATAGTGCTGAGTCCATTAGTTGTCACATTTGTTCAGTTTTTGTTGGGGGTGGGGTGGGAGCATTCAGCTGTTTACACCACCATCTTGCCCTAAGCTGAAAAATGCTTTTTCATTACAGGATGCCTACTGACAAAGAATGCATTCAGGCACTTAGCACAGGGCGTGGTACATAGTAACTGATAACACATATCGAGTACTTAACCATATAGTAGCTTGAAGAACTGGTCCATGTACTAAAAGGTATACATAGAAAATAGACACATGTTCTGGTGTGCAGGATTGTACAGATATATATATATAATATATATATAGATATATATATATATCTATATATATAAGTCACTGAGGTAGATTTTTAAAAACTATTTGGGAAGAATTCCAAATGTACAGAAATGTTGCATACATAAAAATAGCACAATGAATACTTGTGTACCCTTTGCCCAGATTCATCTGGTAATTTTATCCCATGTGCTTGATAAAATCCCCCTTTCTGTCTCTTTTCCCCTATACAAACATCATAGGCTTTTACCCCTAAATACTTCAGTTTGTATTTCCTAAGAATAGATATTCTCTCGCATAACTCAGTATGGCTGTCAACCCGAAAAAAATTTAACATGGACATAATACTTTTCTCTAATGTATCATTTGTATTTCAATTTTGTAAGTTTACCCCATAAGCATTTTCCCCCTCTGGTACAGAGTCCAGTCTATGTCTCTTTGGCCTCATTTAATCTGGAACATTTCCACAGCCTTTCACTCTTTTAGGACATGGGCATTTTTAAAGAATACTGTCCCCCTGCCCCACTGCTTTTTAATAGACTGATCCTTCCTTCAGGGTTTTCTGAGGTCTTTCTTCTTCACGATTGTATTTAGGTTATTGATTCTCACTGGAATATTGGTATAGGTGGTGACGTGTCCTTCTCAAGGTATTACATTGGGAAGCACGTGATGTCCTTCTCTGCCTCACTGGTGATGTTAATTTTGACCACTCATTCAAGGTGTTGTCTCATTTCTCATCTGTATAATTACTGGTTATTATTTTTATCCACCCTTACAATTAATAAGCAGTCTGAGGGGAGACACTTTGTGACCATGAACATGTCAACATAAAGTATATGTGGAAAAGACAAAGGAAATAACTATAAACCATGACAGCTCTTGGGTGAGTTAATGCAGTAGGATTAAGGAGATTTTTTCCCTTATGTCTAATATTTTTTATAATATCACTTTTCTAATAAATGTAGATTTTAAGCACTGAGTTTACAAATGTAATGCTCCTACTCGGTAGGAAAAAACTTTTAATTTTAAACCTTATATGAAAGCCTTCTATAAATTATCTTAATGTTTCTAAGAACATTGTATTACTGCTTTCCTTTTTGTTCTTGTTTTGACTAAGTCCCTTCTCAAAGCACCGTGCCATTACTTAAATAATTAGATGCCTCAGCAAAGCCCAAGGTATTCGCATTAGCATTTCAAAATTACCCTCAAGGGGATATAATTGAGTTTATTCATGTCCGTTGTCTTAAATTTTTTGATTCAAAAGTAGCATCTACTTCAAAATCATAAAAGTAGTAAAAAAATGTGATTTCAAAAAGCTGCAACTCTTTAATGTGTGTGTGTGGTTTTTTTTCTTTTTTATAGCTCCTAACAATGGTAACCAAGACATGTCAGCCTGGTTCAGTCTGTTTGCAGACTTGGATCCACTTTCAAACCCAGATGCTATTGGACACTCAGATGATGAACTTCTTAATGCCTGACTAAAGTTATAATGTCACTTCAGTGGCCTTGAGACATCAATTTTGCAACATACTGCCTTTGTGAAAAGGAGTTTATATTGTAACCACACACAAAGCATGTTGTTTGCGAATACTTGTTAGCCAGCCCTAGACAGATAGTAAAGATCACAATTGAATATATTAAGTACACCCTTAATATCTTGGATTTGTGACTCTTGATAATATGTGGAAAACATGAAAAACAATCATGTCCAAAATAGATACCCAAATTTTTTAAAAAAAAAAAAACAAAAACACAGGAATAATTCTGTCAATAAGGAGTTAGGTTTATTTCTCTGGAAAGCTTTTTATGTTTAAGTTACCTTGCTGGCTGTGAGAGTTCTGTATGTGGATAAAGGACAGCCTGTAGATTGGGTTGCAGTTTGGGGCTGGGTTTTAAATAAAACAGTGGCAGGGGGAACTATTTGTTGTGGAAAATAGCACTAGAACCCGACTATCTTTAGTTAGAAAAGTAAAATAAGATTTGAGAACTCAATTTGCTTTAGTGAAATCACAGAGAAACTCGGTGCTTGTTTTTCTCCATTTGCAGGCTAAAATTTAATGTTACCTAGCTTTTTTCATTCATACAAAAATCACAGAAGCCTCTAATTCCATTATTGGATTTTTCCATGGGGAAGTTGGTTAATTTACTACGCCCATCCCCCATAGGAATGGAAAAAATCTCTTCATCTCATAAACCACAAAAATGTCCACTAATGGTCAAGACATTGTATAGGGAGGTAGGTGTCTTCAGGCCTAGTTTTACACACATTGCTATAGTAGTATGCGTTACTCATATTCTAGAAAAGAAAATGAGGGGAGCACATTCTCTAAGCAACTAGCACTAGTACTCCTGAAATACCCAGAAACTTCTACCTGAATGAGGGCAAGTTTAAAACAACTTATTACTATGTGCATACTTACCCATTTTTCTTGACATGATGCAACCCAGAATACTTTCTAGCAGAAATACAGAAAGCTCTTCATGATCAATAGGAGTGTCTTATTTTTCCACTTCTCCCTTTCTGTGCACAGGTGAAATAATCTGCAGCTCCATATGGTTACTAAGCAAAAACTTTCATCACTAGAGGGTTTAGAATTGGGGGAAAACTAATGGAAGTTTATGTAAGCTGATGGAAACATAGCCACTGTTCACACACATCTATCACTCAAATTTCCTGTTCTTTTTCTTGCCCTACCCTTTATTTTTGAGGCAGTTTTCTAGGTGTCTTATTTTTGTCACACAATCTACTAAATCTCCGTAAGAAAGCTAAGTTGTTCACTGTAGTTCCCATGTGTTCCTAGTTCTAAATAGGCTTGTTTAAAAGATAATTATTTCTAATGTCTGCATCATTGTATATAAAAAAACATTTTTTTAGGACTGGACCAGAGTAGGTAAAATGCAGTCCATTGCCCATCCACGGCAGTCCAAACTAACTAGGATCTTCTCTGCCCAAAGCTCTCTAGAAAACCATACTGGCACCAAGTACTGCACAGGCTGGAAAGACATCTGAGGGTCAAACATGGACTCTGGAAAAGGTCACTAAGAGTCCTTCCTTGACATCTTTTCATGTGCTTGTTCCTATTTCTTTACTCAGTATTAATAAACTGTTATTTATCGCTTTAGAGGCATTTTTTTAACTCTCCTTTTTCATTCAGTGAAAATTTCCCAGAATGGAATACTGTCATTGTTCTGTCAGGATTCAATCACCAAGGATTATGAATGTAAATCATAATCTAAATTCTATACCCATAGTGACTCTGGTGCTCTCAACTTTGACTGAGTACCTCAAAAGAATGCTAACTTTGTTCTATTTTTTTCTTTGCAATGGTAGCATTATGAATGCATTAGTTCAAAGATCTGTATATCCCTCACATGCATGCAAAGCAATCCCTGATGTATAAATGAAGATATCTCCATGAGTAGGAAAATCAGTAGTCTCTCCAAGCCAGAACTAAATCCCAGACTATGAATGTGAAGGGATAACATCCTCAATTTTCTCAGAGCAAAGGTTCTCAAAAAATGGAAACATCCAAGAGATTTGTATTATTCCAGTCTTAGTTTCTGTAACACTTCCTCTTTCAACAGACTATGTAGTTGCCCATTTAACCCAGAAGCAACATTAATTGCCTAAGCAAGTCCTGCTACAACTTCAACAAGTCTAACAACTCAATTTTTGAAAAGCACGTCGTAAACTTTGTTATTAGAATGAAAGCAACCGTATTTGCTCAAGATTAGTTATTTGAAGCTCAATCACTAGAGGTCAAAAATGTAAGTTTTGTTATGTTAAACCTAGATTGCTAATACACAAAACCAACCACATATTCAGTCAAGGGTGACAGGAAGGACAGGACAAGCCCGTAACAGAAAGGTAGACCGGTTGCTGTTTGTCTCTATCTAGATCATTCAGTAAGAACTACATTAACCTCAACCAAGGGTCGGCAGAGAGCACCTCTCAAAAAATAGTGACACTTTTTATACTAAATGGGGGCGGGGGGGATTTGACACCTATCTATCTTACACTTTTTTTAATACCAGATAAGAAAAAATCCCAGAAGAACTCAAATTTGCCTACTGTTTCTACAACCACTTTATAGGAGAGGCAGGAATACCAGGGCATATGTTAAGATCAGATCAGTGTAACTTTGTATTTTTGAGATGTTTCATTAATTGTCAAACATAGCTCTGATATGATTAGAAACTGTATTTCAACAAAACAGGTTTCAGTATTTGCACATTGGAAAAAGTGTTTGTATTTGAACTATGGATATTTATTTCACATAACTGTTTTTCGACTCTCTAGAAATAGAGGTTTTACAGCATTAGAACAAAGAAAGTTTGACTTTGCTGTTTTTTTGAACTTCTTTTAATAAAGTTCACAAGATTGCATAAAACAGTTTATTTCCTAAAGTGATCAGTACAAATCCATTTATTGTTTGTTTTCCCTAATCAAACTTAGGTTTTACCTAAGGACCATAGTAGAAAAGTAGATTGAATTGATATAGATACCTCAGAAAGTAAATAAAACTGGGCAGTTAATATCCTTGTGAGACTGATTCATCTTTTTAATTTACCACATATAGAGCGGGACTATTTAAGATATGAGAAATAACAGAATGTTATTTTTTGTGTAAATACAAAATGCACACTCTCAAATATCAAAATTTTGAGCCGTTAGAAGCAATAACAAATGAAATATAAACCACAGTTTTTAACCCAAGTTATTAAAAGCACACATAAAATGAAGAAAGCCAGAAATGATTCCACTTATTTCTATCTTTCATAGAGTTGGTAGGGCCCTGCTCTACCTTGAGCAATGAAGCAGCCCCAGAATCTCGGGATGTAGAAATTAAACTAGGAGAGAAACACAAACTTTAAAATTCAGTAGTACTGAAAGTAATGCATTTAAAACATACAACAGTGAAGTGTTTAAATATAGCAAAGAAAACCTGAGAAACAAGATAGAAAATGTTGGTTTGTCGAGATGAGCCACATCCAAAAATCCAACATAAAATATCTTTGTCGGTCTTATATGTACCATTTAAAAGAAGACTGAAGAGTTCAATAAAAACTGTCCTTGACATTTAAAGTCACGATATGATTCGTCACACAGTGGTGCAAATAATAAACCAAGAGCCGAAGAGTAAATACAAAAGGGAGATAAAGGTCTGCTTAGTGTTAATAGGTAAGATTTTTGAAATGCATATATTTTACCTTAAAAAAAAAAAGTTGTTTCCTCTTTCCCATTTCAAAGTAATAGCCTCTCATTTAAAAGTGTGGAAAGCACCAAAAACTAGACAAACCACAGCCATACCATCCAGGGATAACCACTGTTAACACTGTATGTTCTGTTATTCTTTGTAGTGCCTCTGGCATACACAAGAATTAAACTGTGATCCAGTTGATTTCATTGTATTGTCTTTCTCTCTCTGAAATGGGCCTACCAAGTTATTAAGATTAAAACATGATCCTTATAAGCTTTTTTCTCAAAAATTCAAGTTAAAAAAAACCACCAAAAATGTGACTGAAGTCAGTATCTCCCTAAAAGATGTGCTCCTCGAAAAATATTTTCTTGAATTTCTATAGCTATAGCAACATTGGAGCCCTGGTGGCACAGTGGTTAAGAGCTCGGCTTCTAACCAAAAGGTTAGCAGTTCAAATCCAGCAGCTGCTTCTTAGAAACCCTGTGGGGTAGTTCTACTCTGTCCTGTAGGGTCACTATGAGTCGGAATCGACTTGACGGCAACGAGTTAACAGGTTATAGCAACTTAAAAACGAGAGCTTGAGGGTTTTGTGTCACTAACTTTCTTGGTCAGGAACTGGAGTCTAACCAGCTTATGTTCTGCTGGCATTTGTACACAAAGAAGAGGACCACAAAAGAGAACAAGGCAGTGTCCCAATGGCAAATAATCTGTGATACTAAACACCCATATTTTATCAGTGTCACTGGTACAGGAGAAACTTTGTGGTTAAGTTTGAGTTCTAGAGTAAGACTTGGTTCAAATCCAGACTTCACAATTTCCCAGTTGTATGGCCATGGATAAGTTAACAATTTCATCATCTGTAAGATAGTAAAACTAGTAGTACCTGCCTTCATAGGGTTATTGTAAAGATTAGGGTAGAGAGTAACATGTAAAGTGCCTGGCATTTGATAAGTTATCAAGTGTTACCTAATTTTATTACAATTTTAGCTCAACATCCTTGACTATATTATACTTCACAAACTAAAATGAATTTACATGATCACACTCCATAACGAAAAATCCTTGGCTCATCTAACAAGATATAAAGAAGATGCTAATGAAAGTTTGCTTACAGTTTTAGAAGCTAAGCTATTTCATATTCACTAGCCCATTTACCTGACAGCACTATCAGCATTTCCTTCATCTCATAAATAAGAAAATTGAGGTTCAAAAAGGTGACTTTCTTGCAAGGGTCCACGACCATCAAGTAGTGGAGCCAGAACTCGGACCTAAATTGTGGCCCTAAATCCAGAGCTTTCTCTTCATCTCCTCTGAATCATCCCAGTGATCTCAAAAATAACTTATGAAGACATGGGATTGAGACAAGTAGTTATACTCCTGTTTTTTAACCCTCAGAGCTTCCATGATAGTCTTCTATAACATGATTCTAAACAATACCACCGATATATAATGTGCTCCCAGACCAAGCGGTCAACATTTACCCAAAAGTAAAGATAAGATGACAGCGAGGGGTGGGTAAGCTAGGTCAATGGAAATAGAATGGAAATGAGAATGCTGAAACAT